AAAATAAAAGGCATGCAGATTAGAATGGAATAAACAAAATTGTCTCTATTCTCAGATGACCTATGTATATATCTGTCTATCTATCTATCTATCTATCTACCTATCATCTATCTATCATCTATGTAATCTACCTAAACATCTATCTATGTAGAGAATTCCAAAGCCTATCAAACAACTCATATAACTGGGTTTCCTAGCTTACAGAAGATAGTGAACACAAAAAGCATAGCTAAGACATGGGTTAGTTTGATTAACTAGATAAATGTATTCAAATATCACCATGTGTAAAACAACATGAATTCCTTTCCTTTCAACGTTGCCAATTTCCTTACAAATAGACCATCTTTGCTCACGTTTCAGTCAATTGATAAAACTATTAAAGCCATTCTCAAATGTTTGAGCTGTCGCACTAAATTCAAAAACTCAGATATTTTTACCTAGATTTATTTATTTATTTATTTATTATGAAATAAACATTATTCTATTTTTGTTTACTAGAACCCTTAGTATCTACCTCTCACTTGTTGCCCAGGAAAATGTCAACATAAATTAGCAAGATCTTATATGTTGTCTTGCTTTATGAGCTATCATCTTCTGGAAAGCCTTTACAACTTTTATTAACCTATGAGGTTAAAGGCTGATGAGATTAAAATAAGGCAGGGTAAACTATGGTTCACAAACCCAATCTAGCCTATGACCAGTACAGCCTTCAAATAAGAATGGTTTTAGGGGAGCCTGGGTGGTTCAGTTGGTTAAACGTCTGACTTGAACTTAAGTCATGATCTCACGGTTCGTGGGTTTGAGCCCCATGTCAGGCTCTGCTGACAGCTCAAAGCCTGGAGCCTGCTTTGGATTCTGTGTCTCCCTCTCTCTCTGCCCCTCCCCTGCTCACACTCTGTCTCTGTCTCTAAAAAATGAATAAACAAATTTTTTTTAATAGATAATGGTTTTATATTTTTAAATAATTAAAAAAATAAAAAAATAATATTTTGTGACAAATTAAAATTATATGAGATTAAATTTCAGTATTCATAAATAAAGTATTATTGGAACACCACCATGCTCATAAATTTATACACTTTCTATATTGGCTTTTGCATTACAGTGGCAGAGTTAATGAGCTGTAATGTAGATTACATCGTCTACAAAGTCTGAAACATTTAGTACCTGTTCCTTTATATATAAAATATGCTAATCCTTAAGATAGAGCTTAGAGTGAACAGGTGTCATTATAAGGCATCCAATTCAAATGAAATTATGACAGGATCTTTACACAGAGAAGTAAGAAGTTTCACCTCACCACAGATGTGGACCAGCTACTTCAGTTGACCAAAACACTCTTAGAAGAATTTGTCATTTTAAATTTTGATCGGGGTTCCTGTTCTGAGGAATTCTGAGGTTCAGGGTATCTGGGTGGCTCAGTTGGTTAAGCATCCAGCTCTTGAGTTTGGCTCAGGTCAGGTTTGTGGGATCAAGCCCTTCGTGGGGCTCTGTGCTGACAATGCGGAGCCTGCTGGACGTTCTTTTTCCCCCCTCTCTCTGCCTCTTTTGTGTGCCTCTGCTCTCTCACTCTCTCAGAATAAATAAACTTTAAAAATATATTAAAGAAATTTTTTTTAAATAAAATGATCAGGTTCATCTTGGGTTCATCCATTGTTACAATCCCAAGTCTAAGGTCTCCTTCCAATTAATGTGCTAATTATAAAATAACAGATTTGGTCCCCGCTTGTCTTTATTCTAATTATTTTCTAATGCTTATTTGTTTTTGAGAGACACACAGAGAGACAGACAGACAGACAGAGTGCAAGCAGGGGAGGGGCAGAGAGAGAGGACACACAGAATCCAAAGCAGGCTCCAAGCTCCGAGCTGTCAGCACAGAGCCTGATGCAGGGCTTGAACTTACAAACCGTGAGATCATGACCTGAGCTGAAGTCGGCTCAGCTTACTGAAGATGCTTACCTGACTGAGCCACCCAGGTACCCACCCCCACTTGTCTGTAATTCTGCAACATGAACAATTAATTGGGTAAATGATTCTCAGTTATACTTGCCTAGTGGTTACCAAAAAAAGGAGACGATTTTAAAGCCACGATAGGATCCAAGAAGAAAGAATTTTATAAAAGCGACTGGGGAAAAAAAGCAGCTGGTTAACAGATAAATTATTGATAAACCAACAGAAGATGATGAGGCAATTCTGAGATTAGAAAAGCAAAATGTTGCTACCAACACCAGAACAGAATGTATAAATGAAGATCCATTCTTAGAATCCATAAACAAGTGCTACTCAATAGGAGACACATGACAGAAGGACGAGGAGTTTCAGAACAGAAAGCAATAGTTCTGAGACATTTCTCCAAGCAAGGTCCGTATGTAGACATACTAAGACATTTCCCTGTCTCCATCTAATCATCCACACTTGCTGAATATACCCAAAAACATGAAGGCAAAGAAGCCCAGGGAATATATATATGTAGTTCCCTATGAGATAGATCAGAGCAGAGGATTATCATGAAATGAATCTGAGAACACTTAGATGAGTGACTGATCCAAAGTATAAATATCAAAAAATATTAGGGAATTAGAAGTAAAAGAACAAACTTAAATAAGATAAAATAAATTATATAATGAATCAAAATGCTCTAATATATAATTAACAAAGTTCCATAGAGAAAAGGGGAAAAAATGATCAAATAAAATATAGTAAAATTTCTCAAATCAGAAGTAAATTAGTATCCAGATTGAAAGGACTTTAATATAACCAGCATATTGGATGATGAAAGACAACACACAAGGATTTTAAAAAGTCTTAAATGTTTCCATACAGAAAATAAGCAAGACACACAAATGAATGAGAATAAAAATAGCATTCAATTTCTAAAGAAATGGTAAAAGACAAGGAAAAAAATCCTTTAAAATTCCAAGGTACAATTATTTTAAAAGGAAAATTAACCATAGGGTGTCTGGGTGGCTCAGTCAGGTAAGCATCAGACTGATTTTGGTTCAAGTCATGATCTCAGGGTCATAGGCTCAAGCCCCACAACAGGCTCCATGCTGAATATGGAAACTGCTTGGGGTTCTCTCTCTCCCTCTCTCTCTGCCCCTCCCCCACTCATTCTCTCTTTCTCAAAATAAAGAAACATATATATATATATATACATATATATATATGAAAGTAAAATTAACCAATCTTTGAAATAATTAAATGTATTTTCAATCATGTCACTCTCAAACAATTTGCTACACATCTATTTTTTAGTAAATTATAAGAGCATATATTCTACTAAAATGAGTAAGCAAGTCATGAAAATAGAATACACATGTTCCAAAGGAGAAATGGTAGAAAATTTGTAAACAACCCCTATGCAAGAAGCTTAATAGAGATTGGGGGAAAAAAAGAAACATCCCCAGAGCTCCAAAGAGGACTTTTTGAAACATGTACAAAAAGTAGAGGCAATTTTTAATTTTATTAAAGAATTTGGGCAAAGGCAATATTATGCAGTTACAAATTTGGGAAGAAACAAAAGCTATGCAATGAAGGCAATTTAATTTTATTTCATTATCTGGCTCATCTGAGAATAAAACAAAATTCTAATAAGCTATATTATTATAGAGGAAGAGTGGAAGAGGTGGCAAGTCAGTATTATGAGCTATTAGGATCCTAAATTCTGACTTCACTGACAGTAAGTCAATGGATGTCTAAATTTGAAGACTCAAGAAATTTCAAGGGCCTTTTATTTAAAAATATGGAGTAAAAATGAATAAATTATTTTTACACATATAAGCATGGGTAAATTCCACAGACATAATTTTGAACAAATAATTGGCAGATACAAGAATATACTGTGTATTATTTCATTTACATAAAGCTCAAAAAGAGGCCAACTTAACCAATGGTGATAAGTGTCAAAAAGTGGTTTTCTTTGATATGGATAGTAAGTGGAAGGAGGTATATGAGTCATAGGGGTCTTATGAAGTGGTGAAATACACTATTTCTTGATCTCCATGATACTTATGGCTATGTATTAACCTGGTCAATATTAATCGTGCTAGATATTTATGATTTTTGCAATGTTCTTTATATGTAATATACTCCAATAAAACTTTTATTTACAAGGAGATGAATATAAAAGTATAAGTCAGGAGGAAAAATTTTTTTAAAAAATGCAGGCGTAGTTTATGTAAGGGACTGATTTCGTTTTTTCAGTATTAGTCCTATAAAATCACTTGTTTTTTTAAATTAAAAAAAAAAACTTTTATTGTTTATTTATTTTTGAGAGAAAGAGAGCACAAGCGGGAGGAAGGGCAGAGAGAAAGGGAGACCCAGAATCTGAAGCAGGCTCCAGGCTCTGAGCTGTCAGCACAGAGCCTGATGCGTGGCTTGAACTTGGGTACGGTGAGATCATGACCTGAGCTGAAGTCGATCGCCCAACTGACTGAGCCACCCAGGTGCCCCAAAAATCATTTGTATTTGTAACACGTGAATGTGTATTACTTAATAAGACACAAATTTAAAAAGAAAAGTGGAGCTATATGAATCAACATGTATATGTCTTTTAAAAAGCTGTTCAAAATAGTTCTGAAATGATTCATAAAATAAGAACAATGCAGAACAACATGTAGTAAATGGACCCATACTTTTGTAACAATAGCATAATAACACGTAAAATGGCAAGGACAAATTCATGATTTTTGCTATTTCTTGAATTTAAAGTAGACATACAGGAGGATTTAACTTTGCTTACTGTTTTACATCCTTAGAAATTCTGATATAACTGTCATAATAGTCATTATTCCTATTCGGTAAATGAGTATATTAATGTATGTTCATATTATGTTCTAAGATTAAAATAATTTTGTCCCAACAAAATAATAAATACACATAGAGAGAAAAATGCCTTATTATACACTACTTTTATTATACACTATTTAGCTATATTAAATAATATAAAATGCAATAAACAGATTAGAAAAAAATAGTAAAGAATGATAAAAATTACATACCATAGCAATATCTGCATTATGGCTTTTATTGCATATCGTGCCAGAAAATGTTGCTCCCAAATATGTAGGATGTTTCCTGTAACTACATCATTATAGTATAAACTTTTTATTACCATAGTTATTCAGAGCAATTTATTACTTTATTTATTAAGCTAAATATTCCATAAAATTTACAATGGTTTTCAAATATATGAATTTTTGACCTGGATAATATCTAAAATATTATACAAAATGCTCATTGAAAATTATGATTCACTTTAGTAGCAATTTTCTCTCATCACCTCTTAGACTTGAAATAATTTCACTATCATGAATTCTCCTCAGTTTCCCTTATTCTGCATGCATTCTTTTGATCACTAAAAGTCAAAAAAGTTTTTTTATATTTTTATTTTTTTTAAGTTTATTTATTTTCAGAGAAAGAGAGCATGTGCACGCATGGAGGAGAAGCAGAAAGGGGGAGAGAGAGAATCCCAAGTAAGCCCCATGCTGTCATGCAAAGCCTGACATGGGTCTGGATCACGGCCTGAGTCAAAATCAAAGTCAGAGGTCTAACCAACTGAGCCACCCAGGCACCCCAAACAAAAAGGATTTTTAATCTGTGGAATAAGAAGTTTTGCCTATCCTAAATGTAAGCATTTTCTTAAATTAAATATTATCAAAAAAATTCTTTTTAGTCAAGCAGTAGACATGAAATGTATTAACATATTATAGATAATATTAACTGAATAGTGACAATTTTAACATTATTAATAAGCTAAGGTTTACATGTACTCTTTAGTAAACATATATAGTAGTAAAGTATGTAGTATATAACATATGTACATAACATAAGTAATGTATTCTGTAGTTATGAAAGTCAAGTCTTTATATAAATTATATTCCAAAATATATTGTGATATATGTGATATATGTTACTTATGTTGTTTTTATTTTTATCATATTTTCAACTATACTATAACATCTATGGCAATAGCTATATATGAAAATGTTTAACATTTTCAGAGGTCTACAGAAAGTTGAAGAACACAGTAAATGCATTAATTATCAAATTAATGATATTATTTATGCATATCTCTTTTTTAATGTAGAACATTGTGCTTACATAAGTAAGAATGCTATGTCATGGGGCCGTAGGATAAGATAGTCCCGTTTCCATACAAAAAATCTTTGTAATAAATCATCAGCATCCCCGTTGGTAGAAATTTTGTTTTTATGTGACCACAATTCCAAGGAGGACAGCATTACAGTCAATTTGAACTGAGTAAACATCTAAAATAAGATTTATGGCATACTTGTTAAAATAACAATTATTAAATCAAAACGATATAACATAAGGAATATATTCAGTTTATTATTTAGATTATTGAAGATTTTTATTTTATTTTTATTTTTATTTTTTTAATTTTTTTTTTCAACGTTTTATTTATTTTTGGGACAGAGAGAGACAGAGCATGAACGGGGGAGGGGCAGAGAGAGAGGGAGGCACAGAATCGGAAACAGGCTCCAGGCTCTGAGCCATCAGCCCAGAGCCTGATGCGGGGCTCGAACTCACGGACCGTGAGATCGTGACCTGGCTGAAGTCGGACGCTTAAACGACTGCGCCACCCAGGCACCCCGAAGATTTTTAAGTCATTGATTTGTCATGGTAAAATAGAAACCGGTTTCAATGATTTTTCATAAAACTATAAATGTAAAAAAACTTAAAACTTACAGTGTTGACAAGGCCAGTAATCTGGATAATTTTCTGTGTTACAGCCATCATTTCTGATCCCATATAATCATACTGAAAAACAATTTTTAAGTTATTCTTTTAAAATGTGAGTGATAATAATTTATCTTTTGATGGTGAATATATCTTGCTCATAACAGGCAGGTAAATCATAGGATTTGTCAAACAATATAACACATACTACTATAATGATGATATCATAAAAGAAGCAACAATAAAAAATCATAGGCTTTTAAGATAGATTCTCACTTGTTAATATTTTAAAGAAACTCTCAAGCAGAAACAATTGAAATCATCAAGAGGTTTCAAAATAACTTCAGAGATTCCTCCTTAGTTTAATGGGATTTCTTCAGCTAGACACAGAGGGAAACACAAAATCTCCCATCACATGGTTGGTTAAAAATATCAAATCAATAAACAAAATAAAAGGGCTCAAATATATCTATAGAACAAAAAAACAAAAATGACAATTATAAAAATTAAACATTATGTGGAATAAAGGATTCAAAAACTTTGATAATGAATACAATGAAATTATGTAAAGGAAAGGAGAAAAGAAACAAACTGTCCTGTGAAATGGTAAATTCTTGAGAGGACATAAACTTGTATTTATTTGAGAACTTAATTAATGTGTTCTTTGCAGTCATGTTTTGGAAAATGCTTAGTACCTCTGCAAAAGTTGTTAATTGTAAAAATTGAAAAAATGGACTCCTACCATATCTTAGAACTCTGCATAACTTGTTTACTCAAAATTTTGGTAGTTATTGAAATGGATGTGCTTGTTATAAGTGTTAATATAGAAATAATGTAAAATTAATTATATATTTCCATTTCATGAATTAGAAGTTAAACATATTCTAGTGAATAAAATTTCCTTATAATAGAAAAAACATAGCATTAGAGAAGTATTATACATATGAAATGTATTCCTATACAACACACAAATAAAAAAATCCTTATTTATGACAATATGAGAATACTCAAGATCATCAGAGTAGAGGTATAATTTCATATACTAAATGTCATGACACTTTGGAAGATAGAGCTAGCCCCAAAGGTTTATTTCACAAGGTAAAAATTCTCAATATATAAGGAAGGCATACCAATGCTTAATTAGTAGGAAATAATACACATCATCAAAATATGGAAAACAAAATGGACACAATTAAAACAAGAATTTAAAAAACCCGCAATAGTTCAAGATATTAACCCAACTCTCTCAGTAACTGATAGGAAAAGAGGGCAAAAACTTAGTAAACTTAGAAGGTCTGAGCAATACAGTTAAAATGTTTGACTCATTGAGGCGCCTGGGTGGCGCAGTCGGTTGAGCGTCCGACTTCAGCCAGGTCACGATCTCGCGGTCCGGGAGTTCGAGCCCCGCGTCAGGCTCTGGGCTGATGGCTCGGAGCCTGGAGCCTGTTTCTGATTCTGTGTCTCCCCCTCTCTCTCTGCCCCTCCCCCGTTCATGCTCTGTCTCTCTCTGTCCCAAAAATAAATTAAAAAAAAAAAAAAACAAAAAAAACGTTGAAAAAATGTTTGACTCATTAATATACAGACATAACTCCATTCAAAAAGGGCAGAATAGGGGCGCCTGGGTGGCTCAGTCGGTTAAGCATCTGACTTCAGCTCAGGTCATGATCTCTCAGTCAGCTCAGGTCATGACCTCACAGTTTGTGGGTTAGAGCTCCGCGTCTAGCTCTGTGCTGACAGCTCAGAGCCTGGAGCCTGCTTCAGATTCTGTGTCTCCCTCTCTCTCTGCCCCTCCCATGCTCATGCTCTGACTCTCTCTGTCTCTCAATAATAAATAAAAGTTAAAAAAAAAAAAAAGGTAGAATGTAATAAATCTTTTTAAAATGCATGTGGACCATTTATAAAACCGACCATATACTGGGCCATAAAAGAAGTCACAACACATTTCCAAGGTTTCACATCATTCAGATCATGCTCTTTTACCACTATGGAATAAAACTGATATGAGCAACTAAAATAGAACTTGAAAATCCCCAAATATTTTGAATTGAACCAATACAATTTAAATTCCCAGGGGTCACACACACACACACACACAAATGACTTAGACATAATTTAGAAAAACTGAAATGTTCAAAGAAGTCAGACTATCAAAATTTGTGTTGCTAGTAACAAACAAAAACCCTTGTATTAAATAGTAACTCTTTGACTAGAGATAAACTGTTAAGCATAAATACATTAGAAAATTAAAAAAATGCATAAAACCAATTATCTTATCCAAAGCAAAGAAACTGAAAAGGAGGAAATAACAGACAGAAGATAAGAAAATAATGTTAGGGAATAAACGTAAGTAATCACGGAATATATTTAGCTATTCCATGAGGTGGTATCTCATTGTGGTTTTGCTTTGTATTTCCCTGATGATGAGTGATATTGAGCATCTTTTCATGTGTCTGTTAGCCATCTGGATGTCTTCTTTGGAAAAGTTTCTATTCATGTCTTCTGCTCATTTCTTCACTGGATTATTTGACTTTGAGGTGTTCAGATTGATGTTATTTATATATTTTGGATACTAACCCTTTATCAGATATGTTATTTGCAAGTATCTTCTCCAATCCCATAGATTGACTTTTGTTGATTGTTTCTTCCACTGTGCAGAAGCTTTTTATCTTGCTGAAGTCCCAGTAGTTCATGTTCTTTGTTTCTCTTGCCTCTAGAGACATATCTAGTAAGAAGTTGCTATGGCCAATGTCAAAGGGGTTGCTCTCTGTATGCTCCTCTAAGATTTTGATAGTTTCCTGTCTCACATTTAGGTTTGCCATCCATTTGGAATTTATTTTTGTGTATGGTGTAAGAAAGCAGTCCCGTTTCATTCTTTTGCATGTTGCTGTCCAATTTTTCCAACACCACTTGTTGAAGAGACTCTTTTGTCCACAGGATAGTCTTTCCTGCTTTTTCAAGTGTCCGTTGACCATACAGTTATGGATCCATTTCTGGGGCTTCTATTACATTCCATTGACCTAACTGCCTGTTTTTGTGCCAGTACCATATTGTCTGCATCACTACAGTTTTGTAATATAGCTCAAAGTCCAGAATTATGATGCCTCCAGCTTTGCTTTTTCTTTTTCAAGATTACTTTGGCTCTTCATGGTCTTTTGTGGTTCCATACAAATTTTAGGATTATTTGTTCTAGCTCTGTGAAAAACACTTGTGGTATTTTGATAGGAATTGCATTAAATGTGCAGATTGCTTTAAGTAGTATTAACATTTTAACAATATTTGTTCTTCCAATCCATGAGCATGGAATTTTTTTCCATTTCTTTGTGTCCTTTTCCCATTTTTGTCATAAGTGTCTGATAGTTTTCAGAGTACAAATCATTTACATCTTTGGTTAGATTTATTCCTAGGTATTTTATTGCTTTTGGTGCAGTTGTAAATGGGATCAATTCCTTGATTTCTCTTTCTGCTGCTTCATTATTGGTGTGGATGCAATAGATTTTTGTACATTGATTTTGTATCCTGTGACTTTACTGAAATAGTGTATCAGTTCTAGCAATTTTTTGGTGGAGTCTTGTGGGTTTTCTACATAGAGTGTCACATCATCTGAAAATGGTGAAAGTTTGACTTCTTCCTTGCTGATTTGTATGCTTTTTATTTCTTTCTGTTTTCTGATTTCTGAAGCTAAGATATTCATTACTATTTAACATAGTAATGAGAGTGGACATCCTTGACTTTTTCCTAAGGGAAAGGGTCTCAGCTTTTCCACATTGAGGATTATATTAGCTGTGGGTGTTTTGTATATAGTCTTTCTAATATTGAGATATGTTCCATCTATCATTACTTTGTTGAGGGTTTTTGTCAAGAATGAATGCTATACCTTGTCAAATGACTTTTTTTCATCTATTGACAAGATCATATGGTTCTTACCCTTTCTTTTATTAATGTGGTACATCATGTCAATTGATTTTGGAATACTGAACCACCCTTGCACCCCAGAAATAAATCCCACTTGACTGTAGTTAATTATTATTTTAATGTAATGTTGGTTTCCATTTTCTAGTATGTTGAGAATTTTTTCACCATGTTCATTAAGGATGTTGGTATATAATTCTTCTTTTTAGTATAGTCTTTGTTGGTTTTGGGGTCAAGGTAATGCTGGCCTCATAGGATGAATTTGGAAGTTTTCCTCCCATTTCTACTTTTTTAAAACAGTTTAAGAAGAATAGATATTAACTCTTCTTTAAATGTTTGGTAGAATGCCCCTGGGAAACCATTTGGCTCTGGATTTTTATATGTTAGGAGATTTTTGATCACTGATTCAATTTCGTTGCTGGTTATGTCTGTCTGATGGATATGAAAAAAATAAACCTTAACTCTTACCTCACACCACACATTTTTATCAATTAGAGAAAACCATAAAACTCTATGTGAAAATATAAAGAAAAATAAATTCCAAAACAAAAGTAAAAATATTTGTGTCCTCGGAGTAAGAAAATATTTCTTAAATGGAAAAAATAAAATAATGATAAAAATCATATATTGGACTTATATGCTTTATCATTAAGAAATATGTCCATCAAAAGACACCACTAAGAGAGAGAAAAAACAAGCCTCAAACTGGGAGAAGATATCCCCAATATAGCCATCTGACAAAAGATTCATATTCAAAATATATAAAACTCCACAAAGCATTAATAAAAATATTAAAATGGGAAACACTTGTATATTTTCTCTTAAAGAGAATATCCAGGGGCACCTGGGTGGCTCAGTCAGTTGAGCGTCCGACTTGGGCTCAGGTCATGATCTCACTGTTCACGAGTTCGAGCCCTGCATTGGGCGCCGTGATGACAGCTCAGAGCCAGGAACCTGCTTCAGATTGTGTTTCCCTCTCTCTCTGCTTCTCTCCCACTCATGCTCTGTCCCTCTCTCTCTCAAAAATAAATAAACATTAAAAAAATTAAAAAAGAGAGAATATCCAAATAGTCTACAACAATATCAAATGTATTCAAACTCATTAGTCATCAGGTAAATGCTAATAAAAACCACAATATGATCTCATTTTACATACACCAGAATGGCTAAAATTTAAAGACTATCAATACCAATTGTTTGTGGAGATATGGAACCCTTGAATCTTTATTTGGGGGGGTACCTTGGATCTTTCATACTTTGTTGATGGGAAAACAAATTGCTATATTCAATCAACATCTCTTAAAGGTAACATATACTAATCATGAAAAGGTGATCAACATCACTGATCATCAGGCAAATAAATGCAAATCAAAACCTCAGTGAGATATCACCATACACTTGTTAGAATGTCTATTATCTAAAAGACAAGAGATTTCAAATGTTGGAAAAGATGTGAAGAAAAGTAAACCCTTTTACACTGTTGGTGAGAATGCAAATTGGTACAGCCATTATGGAAAACAGTATGATGGTTCCTTCAACAGTTAAAAATAAAACTACCACATATCTAGCAATTCCATTTCAGGGTAAATATACTAAAGAAACAAGATCAAAGAGATATCTGTACTCCCATGTTTAATGTAGCACTATTCATAACAGACTAGATATGGAAGCTACCTAAGTGCCCATCAACAGATTAATGAATAAAAAAGTGTGGCATGTATATGTATATGTATATGTATATGTATATGTATATGTATATACACACATGCAATGGAATATTAGTCATAAAAAATGAAGGAAATATCCTATTTGCAACAACTTGATGAACATGGAGTGCATTACACTAAATGAAATAAGCCAGCAAAAGACAAAAACTGTATTGTATCAATTATATGTAAAAATAAAAAAAAATTAAAAAAAGAAAAGAGAATAGAATGGTAGCTGCTGTGGCTGGTGGAAGGAGAAAATGGAGAGATATAGGTCAAAGAGTAACACACTTTCAGTCATAAAAAAGGATAAATTCTGAAGATCTAATGCACAGGCATGGTCACTAGAGTTCATAATATGGTATTGTATACTTGAAAGTTGCTGAGAGTATATCTTAAGTGTTATTACCACACACACTTGGGCACACACACACACACACACACACGCAAAGAAAAGAAAAGCGAGTTAACTATGTGAAGTAATGGATGTGTTGATTATCTTAATCTTGGTAATGAATCCACAATGTATATCAAATTATCACATTTTGTGCTTTAAATATACACAATTCTATTAATTATTCCTCAATAAAGTTAGAAAAAATAAGTGAATTGGTAAGATGTTAAATATTTGATATGCTCAAAAAAATGTAACGAGAGATGTTAGAGAAGGTAAGGAAAAATCAAGGCTGTTAGAAAGTGAGGTCAAGGAGAGACTGGGCTAAACTTAGGATAGGGAAAGGGTAGATACTGGAGGGCACTCTAGGCTAGTTTGGATTTTTCATCATAACTAACACCTAAAATAAAATATCTCTACTTTTCAATAATTTAAAAATTACATATGTCTTCAAAATTAAGATAAAATATTTTCATTAAGTTCAAAGAAAGAAAGAGAAAAAGAGAGAAAGAGGGAATGGGGGGGAGGGAAAAGTTTGACTTACCAAATCTTTTTCCACTATAATGTGAATTTCTAGGTATTGGGGTAATAGTTTTGGAAGAGCTGTTTTCTGAAGAAAAAAGGATTTATCGAATGTTAACATGTACTGAATTTGTTAAAGTGAAAATGCTGACATGTAAATAAGGAAAAATAACAACATATAAAACCTTCATGAGGACTTAAATATAAAAATTAATTAGAAATCAGAAAATTTCATTTGAAAATGTGTTCTAGGTTTAAGAGAGTTCCAGTGAGCTTGCTGGAGTAATGTAAGAGTTTAAGTTATCTCTATTAATACTGAATGAGAAAGAAAGTGAATATAAAGATATATATTCTGTTGTCTTCATCTCGTGACAAATCTACATTACCAGTTCACACTTGAAAATTTTTCACGAACTGTCCTCCTAAAGACTATGGCAGCACCAACTGTGGTGCACTAGAAATCTTTCATTCATTCAGTATAGGGAATATTTGAGAATTCATTGACAGCACATAAATTTGGGTAAATAGTATTCCTTGTACTATTAACTATATGTGTACACAGGAAAGAACAAAATGCGCAATATCAGAAATAATTCTGCAGTCTCAGAGCATAAGCTGTATGCCCCATTTGGTATGATGTAATAATTCTTGATTGTGCCAGGTCAGTCAGCTAAAACTCATCAATTTATTATATCATCACTTAGCACTTTAAATCTAATTTTTATACAAGCTGTATTTCTAACACATTGAAATTCCATTTTACATATAGAAATTTCAAAAAAAAAACTCACAAAATTTCTTCCTTGATCCAATTAAATACACTAAATACAAGAGTATTTACTTGATCACCAAATACAAGAGTATTTACTTGATCACTAAATACAAGAGTAACAAGGTACAACAATTGGGTCTGTCATAAAATAGCATAGGTTAAATGAATAAATGAGCAAACTAACTGGACTTAATGGGTAGAGCCTAGATTTAAATTAGTTTGTTTAAATTCCCATAGGGAAGTAAAGTATGCCTGTATCATATTACCTATTTTTGTCATTACCTATCTGTCTGTCTGATTACATGCATATATGCAATTTTGTAGAAATGAAAGTGCTCTTATTTCTTATTTTCTCTCATATAATGCTGAAATACATGAGTTTGGTCTCCTAACCCTCTTTTATAATTTCTCTGCAAATTTTCAGCACTAACTAGTCTTATAACAATGGTGATCATATAATTTATTGTTCTAACTGGAATAATATGGAGTGGGATAAGAGTTCACTAAAACTAAATTATATAATTACTGAAATTGATTTTTAGTTCTATTTCATTACTTTGGTAGACCTAAAATATTTCTACTCAAAAGTTATTTCTAAAACTAGATTTCTTCTTATATACATCTGACTACATGAAGCCAAAACATTTCTAGGTTTTCTTTGATTAAAAATAGCATAAATAATTTTTCTTGAAAAATACTCATAGACTTTAATTTCTTAGACATATCTCCTTATAATGTGTCTGATATTTTTAGAAAATTTTTTCAGTATATTCTTAATATTTTCATTACATTGCTTATGATTTTGTTCAAGGTTACATTTTATGGTTTATACACTTGAAATTGATAACACTTTCAACTGACTTTTTACTAAATACCATAATTTTTTAAAGCTTATTTATTTTGAGAGAAAGAGAGAGTGGTGTGTGTGTGTGTGTGTGTGTGTGTGTGCAAGAGAGGACCAAAGAGGGAATCCCAAACAGGCTCCATGCTGTTACCATGGAGCCCAATGTGGGGTTTGAACTCATGAACCATGAGATCATGACCTGAGCCAAAATTATGACACTGTTGTTACCTTGACATTTTTCCCTCTCAAATTTATATTCTTCTTCTCACTCTTTAATATTTAAATTTATAAATGAAATTAAATAATATTCACTGTAATGTCAGATAAGTCACCTTCAATAAAATGAGCTTCAAAACTCATTAACTCACTAAGAGATTATTTAATTTTATTAATTTTTTTTAAAAACTACTTATTGCAAAGCAGATCAATAATCTCATGTACCATTAATCCAGTTACTCCAATGGTTATATCTTACAAAAAGCTGTAGTACATTATCAAAGCCAGGAAGCTGACTCTGTATGATGTATATGTGTATATTTCTATGTTATTCTGTAATGTGTGCACTTATGTAAACACCATTGCAATCAAGACACAGATACATTCCATCATTGCAAAAATCTTCCTTTCATATCTCTTTAAAGTTACACCCACTTCCAACTTCCCATTTATTCCTAACCTGTGATAATCACTGATCTTTCCCCCAGATCCAGGTTCATAGTGCCTTCCTTATATTTAGCCTTAATCCAAACATCAGAGAATTCCCCTGTTCTCTGCTCCATGCCAAATCCATGACCTGTTCTAACACGTGTCAAAAAAGTACAGGAGAAAGAGCAAGAAGATCAGGAAGAGACATTTTATCTAAAGACGCAAAACAAAGTCCAGTGTAGAAATGCAAAGCTAAACAGAACAAGCATTACTCTAACAAATTACCATTCACCTTAAACAAAATATATCACTAAAAGAAATGTGAAACCTCTGTTAGGTATACTAAAGGTAGCAATAGCAAAAACACACACTAACAGATGTATATTCTGACTATATTAACACAAACTTTTGAGCTAAAGACCTAGCAGAAAGATATGCTCATTTCCAAGGCTAAAATTAATATTTAATTCAATATCTACTGCCTACTGACTTATGTAACATGTTTACATTTCACAAAAGATAGAGAAGGGATACAGACAGGCAAGAAGAAAATGCAATATAGAAACTATAGCTACCATGAGGATCAGACTTACACAGACACAGACACAGATGTTGGAACTATCAGAAGGAAGATTTAAAGCAACTCTAGCTAGTATGTTAAAGGCACTAATGGAAAATCTTAAAGAACACAATGTGAGATATGTAATTTCAACACCAAATATTTCTACAACAACCACCTAATATGGAAAGTAGTTGGTTGTCCCTATCTACATGTGTTTATGCACATTTTATTTTATCATTGAGTTCCTTTGAGTTGTGTTCTTGATAAGTCAGTATCTGTAACTTTGCAAATAGAAATGATCTAAAAAAGAGAAAGAGGTTGCCTGTTTGCTTCTCAGAGAGGGGGAGAAACATTTTTATAATTTTCTCACTAACTTCTAGACAAAATCAATGATTGTCTAGTAAAAGTTTGGCAGCCATATCTTCTATTACTTTAAAGAATATTTAGTCTAATTAATGACATATCAGTGGTGCCTGGGTGGGTCAATCAGTTAAGCATCCAACTCTTGATTTCAGCTCAGGTCATGATCTCATGATCATGAGATCAAGCCCCATGTAGGGCTCCATGCTGGACATAAAATCTGCTTAAGATTCTCTCCCTCACCCTATGTCCCTCCTCCACTTGTGCACATGAACACATGCTCTCTCTCTTTCTTTCTAAAAAAAAAAAAAAAATGACAAGTCACTTATAAATGAAAAATACAGAACAAAGCTCAAAAATGCCCCAAAGAAGGATGCTGGGACAGCAGACATGAAGTACAAAACCCCTACAGGAAAAAAAATGTGGAAAACAGAAGTTTTGAAGAATACAAACAATTTGACATAATCAAAATCTGTAAAACACTACAGAAAACAACTGCAGAATATATAGAGAAACATATATACTAAAGTCAATGTATATATTGACTAAATTTCTATATATTGATCTAAATTTCTATATATTGATCTAAATTTCCCATGGTTCACTGGAGGAATAACAAGGGAAATTTAAAAATATGTTACATTAAAAGATAATAAACACATGGTATATAAAATTCAAGAAATGAAAAGACATCAATTAAAATCAGGGTGAGATACTCCAGAAATTATCCCCTACATAAAACCAATAAGAGAACTGGCAAAAATTGTTACCGTCAGCTTTTTCAGATCTCTAGAAATTAACAAATAGCCTGCAGCCTTCTGGGGAGTGTCCGTTCAATAAAAATAACTGATCTGGGCAAAAACAGTGATATATGGAGGATTTGAATTTGCCCTAGTCTTTTCTCCCATTAATTGAAATGTAATAGCAACATTTGCAGTAAATACCAGCAGAGTGGCAACCTCCAGAAAATGCAGAATATGGCTGGAACATCTTCAAAATCTCATTTCCAAAGAAATGTCACCACCTGACCTACTTTGTTCCTAGAAGACCTATTTCAAGTTTGTCTGTATTGACCTAAATTACATTTTACACAGTCTGAAAAGCTCTTTTTTCAAAGGGGTTTGTTTTAAACAATTACAGGCATTTTTTTTTTTAATTTATAGTTGTCTGAGACAGTGAATGACCATGGGACAAACAGTAGACCAATAAAGGAAAAGCTGGAGAATAAGATACCCACATGCAGCTTTAAAAAGCTATGACAAATTTCTGGGAATTTAGCAGACTATACACATGTGTATATATGCCCAAGTCTGTATACATACTTAGGAAAGACCTGAAAAGACCTTAAACTCTCACTTCTGGGAGATCTTGAGACTCTGTGCAAGGATAAAGTGAAATGAAAGGCACAGTTGTAACTGCCTGGCCAAGTGACAAAGGCATGTTCCAACATGCACAGAGAGACTCTCAGCAAAAACTGGGAGACTTATTGTTTTCAAGCATTTAAAGAACTCTGTGTGATCATTAACCCACCAATAAGATAACAGAATAGAGACTTCAGTGGCTACTCACAACACATAATACAGACTTTAGAAAACCAGTTAAAAAATTCACAAAGCAAACAACTACAATGAATATCAGCAACAATATTTGATGGAGGGGAATGTGATTTCCAGAGTTATCACATTATATTACTTGGAATGACTAGTTTCAGTTTTCAAAAAATTGAGACCTGAAAAAGACCTAGAGTATGAACCATATACAGTCAAAAGGTCAACAATAAAAACTGTCTTTGAGGAAGATTAGATGTTGGACTTATTAGAGAAACACTTTAGGTATTAAGTTATGTATAAATACTGAAGGAGAATACTTTAATAATGTCTAACTAAATATGGAATGTCAATAAAG